CTTTCCTCCCTTTGGCCTTCCTTCTTTCATTCTCTTTTTACAGGCTTTTCTATGAGAACTCGTGTTCCTGCCCCACCCCCCTTCCTTTCTGACTTGCTCTCTCCTGTCCGTCTTGTCTTTTGACTGGCTTTGCATTTCTAATTTCATTTTCTTGTCTGCTTACTCTTTCTCTATGCCTCTATTGCTCAGTCTCTCTCTGTCTTTATCCCATAGTTTTATTTTTTTCCTATCATGTCCAGTACTACCTCTCTTACTGGCTCTTCCATTTTAGAAGTTGAAAAGGTCTGTCTCTATCAATCTATCACTTAACATTAATGTCTTCTTCTTAATGTCTTAACATCATCTTTTCCTTACTGTACTATCTCCTTACCATACTCAATGTTTAATACTTTCATTTTCTCTTTCTTTCTTTCTTTCTTTCTTCTTTTTTTTTTTTCTTTCTCTCCTTTCCTTTCTATTACCCTCTTTGTCTCTGTCTTCACTGTACTTTTTCTTTTGGGCTTCTCCTTTGTGAAGTCTATCTTGTCTCTCTACCTATTTATAAGTGTTTTAGTTTTCTGACTTCTCATTTTCAGTATCTTTGTCACCCCCAGCCCAATTGTTTTTGATTTGCAAATTCCTCTCTGCCACTCTCATATTCTCTTTTTCTTTATTTTGTTTTTCTGAAACAACAGTCCTTTTAAGTTTCTTTCTTTTTTCTCTGTTGTTCTATCTCTTTCTATATCGCTTCATCCTTCCCTTTGTTCCTCTATGCCTCTATCTTGCTGGATATTTTTTGCTCTTTTGTCTTTCTCTGTCTGCCTTTCTTATTTTCCCTCTCCTCTGTCTCTTTCTGTCTTTGTTTTTCACTCCTTTATCTAGTGTGTGTGTGTGTGTGTGTGTGTGTGTGTGTATATATATATATATAGAGAGAGAGAGAGAGAGACTTTCCCTTCCTCCATTTCATTCTTCCTTTCCTTATGTACCATCTGTCCTTACTGCCACCTCCTTTTCAACTTTTTGTTTTGCGTTTTCCCTTTGTACATTTTTAAATGTCTTTTCTCTTATATCCCTTTTAAAAAACTTTTTTCTCTTTCTCTCACTGATTTACTCTCTCTATATAATATTTTCTTATGGCTCCTCCTTTTAAAATTTTTCTATTTTTTTCTTTTATTGTCTCTTTTATCATCATTTTGTAATTTTTGTTCTTACTGGCTCCTTTTTATTTCTCTCATCTTATTTTTGTTTCTATATACCTGTCTCTTTCACCCTCTTTTTTTTAAAATCTGTTTTTGTGTGTACGCTGTTTCCTCTTACTGGCTCCCTTTTAAACCTGGGGTAGAGGTAGTTTCCTTTCCTGAGCCACTTTATAAGCCAATCAGTCTGTTGCAATGTATGTATATACATTATACACACACACACACACACAGATATACACTTTACAACTGGGACCAAGAAGTGCCCTATGTAGTGTCTGGCTTGCGTAGTGTGAGCTCCTGGGACTTACCTTTACAATAGCTTTGTGACCTCACTCTATAAGTGTGTAGAGGGGCTGGCATTATAAAGATCCCAGTATTTAATAATATCTAGATATGCATCTTATACTTAGCTACTATGTCTTTCATTGTCTCCCTCTCACCTGTATCATCTTGTCCTTTGAAAACAAACATGCTTCCTTCTGATCCTTCTCTCTTCAGGTCATTTCTTTGCATTTTTTGTAAACGATGAGCGAGTTTTTTCTCTAAAAGTGCTCTTTTCTAAAATAGTTTTAAAAAGATTTAATATATTTAAAAATCTCAACTTTCTACTGGAAATCTGAGACAGATATTTCAAATGCAATGGTATATTTGAATGTAAACCCTCATTACTATCTGGAAATTTCTAAAGTCACAATGACTACAAAGCTGGAAAGTAGTAAAGGATACGTTTTCTTCTGTCATCCAGCAGCAGCAGAATATATTTTATTAACTAGAATATATTCTATTAACTAATTTAATAAATCCAATTTAACCCAGTGCCCACTCTCTGGGGACTGGTCCCATTTCATGTCAGTCCTTGCAGTACAGGATTAGCGAGACTGGGTTTCTTCCTTAATAGCTAGCCTTGTGAGTTTAGGCCACTTCTGACAATTTATATCTAAAAATATCTAAAACTCTTTCCTCAGGATACCCAAGTCATCGTTAAAAGTTCACTCTACCTTCCTGTCAATTTCTTCTCTGGTCTTCCTACGGTATTCTTCAACTCTTGCTTCTCTTCTTACTTCTTCAGCAATCTTTGTCAGAAGTGACAGTTCTTTCATCTTCCATTCCTGAGGAGCACAATGTTATAGTACTCAGCATAGAGTCTCTTTCATAATATTTTTTTCAGTATTCTTGTCTACCAACAATAAGCAAATTAAATCAAATCAATGGCCTAACAGAAATTGGGTCAGCCATAATGAAATTTTGCACTGGCTTATCTTACTTCCCTTTATTGGGAGTGTGTTGGTATATGCAATGGAATGGTAAAAGGAAAGAAATTATCTTGGTATTAGAAGCTTAATTCAGGCATAAGCCTGGCTCTAAATAAAAAGGATGTTAGCAAGAAGGTTTTCCCTTCTGGACTCTAGGGGCATGCCATATGAAATCTGATGCTCTTAAATGTATTTTGGCCAAGAAACTAAACAAAAAAGATAGGACACAGCCATGCCTATTTTTCACTTGAGATAAAGCGTAAGACTTTAAAGAGCAGGTGTGACTGTAATGTAATGGGTATATAATTTGTGGTACTGGTCTTACTATTTTAAGTTAAAGTGCGTATATTATAACAGTGATCAAAAATCAATATGAATTTATGTTTTAGATGTGAAATAACTTTAGGTAATATGGGTAGGCCTGCTAAAAATGTTTACAAATGAAACAACCATACACGATTTTCCCCTTAATATTTAAAATTTGGTGTCCCTCACCTCCTCAATTTCTCTACGGAGACTAAGTTTTCTTCTTATGTGGTCCTCATGTCGTTTTTGTTCTTCCTTCATCCGGAGTGCACTCTGATTTTCTGCAGCCAGGTCAATCTTGTCTAACTCTGTACTAATCATATCTAAATATCTAAATAAAAGTGCAAATACAAGTGAGGGTGAATTGGGTACTTCCCTTATGATGGCATTATCTTCTGTGATATTCCCAAATCACTTACTCAGTTGTTTTTTATTTCTTGAACTACAGGAAATTCAGAGATTTGCAGGGACCTTTAAGCTAGCCTGACCCACCAACTTGCCATGCTGTACTTAATTACCAATGTCTCTTATCTAAGTCTTTGTTATTGTGGCTAAAACAATGCCAAAATGTGGAACAGAATGATTAAAAATCATTTTATGCAGAAATTATTCATAATTCAGTAGCTTGGGGACCATGTATTTTCCCAAGATCGCCAAAATCAACGGAAGGACTGACTTAAACAAACAAACAAAACAGCAGATTTAAATTTTCCTTAGAAACAAGTGAGTAATGACTGCTGGATTATTCTCAAGTTCCTGTATGACCTCTTGTCTATAGAAAGGTCTGCAGACTATTAGTCTGGGACTCTGATGGATTGGTATGTATTCTGGCAAATCATAAAATGAATCCATGGAATATAAGAGCCAGGTGATGGGGAACTGGCCCTCATCACTAATAAAGGCCAAACAGAAAGATGTAACTCACTCACCCTTTCACCTCCTGAGGCATGTGCTTGGCCTCACCCTGACAACGAATGTGTGTAACAGCTAAATGAACATACACAGGTGAGGAATGACAAATGTTTATATTAGCATCAAAGTTATAGTGACTCTCATGTTTTGACCTTGCAGCAAATGTTTTACACTTAAGCTTAAAACATGTGCTAAAGACACCTTTTCTCTCCTGCTGCTACAATGGACTTGGGTTTCCCAAGATCAGGGATTTGTACTTCGGATTCCTTCTTTAAATATTACTTTGGTTGACCTTTTGGTTACTTAGTAGCTCCAATTTCTCAGGAAGAAACTCTCTACTCTAGCCAGAGTTCTCAATCCCTGTACCTCTTGATCTTACCTTCCTTTCTTCTATGTTGAAGACTATAAGGGTATTAACTAGTGTCTAGTGCTTTTGTTCATCCTTCCTCTTAAATTCTTTCTAGTACTCTTACCATTTTTGGGGGGGATCTACAATGTGTCTATGAAATATGCAGCAACTTTGATCATACCTAGGTTTTAGTAGCTTCTCTTCATCTTTGGTAAATTGTCCTTCTTGTAATAGCCATCTTTGGAATTGGGCAGCATTATAACCTTCACTGGCTCTTTTGATTTCATATAGTTTATTTACTCATTTTTCAATCAGTTTCTGAAAGGAAAAAAAAAAAGAATTAGCTTTTTATGTTTGCCAGAAAGAAACCTGTATTTTGATATAGTTTCTTATGTTTCAGGCTTAGTAAATGTCCTTTACTTTGCAAATGGTTAATTCTGTTGGCCTCCATTTGAGTCTAGTGTGGCTCCAAACCAGACAAGTGAAACATTTTCTCTGTCAATGACAGGCAAATACTTCATTTCATAGTTTATATATCTCTTACAGATATTTTGTTACCTTAATACTTCTAGGTCAGAATACTACGAGAAAATAGGGTGCATAGGACCATACATAAAAATAATTTTGCAGGCCCCAAATAAAAGAAATTTAAATATTTAACTTACTTGTTCTCTTACATACTTTCTTTCAAAGTCTAGTTTTAAACTGGTCAAATAGTGTCTGTACTTATTCAATTCCTTTAAGGAACACACAACCTACAAAAACATAAACCAAAAATATAAATACAAAGTTTTTATTATTGTAACCCTTTCTAGTTAAGTGAGTAATAAGAACAACTTGGGATAAAATCTTATAATAAAGACTTTTGACAATTTTTAAGGCAGTATCTTGATGCAATTGCTGTATCACCAGGAAATTTCTATTCTAATAGTATTATTTCATTAAAATGGTTCACATCAAAATCAGCAACTTACTATTCCCAATCAATTTATTATTGAAATACTAATATAATAATGATTTTTAACCTTCAAAAGAATTTACCCTATCGAAGTAATACACCTGGTAGGTTTCCATTTTGTCTAATTTTGTCAAAGGATTTGGAAAATATTCATTGGCAGGTATGAAAGGGCCATTATTACTTCTAGAGCCAGAGAAAAGGCAGTATGATAGATCTAGGGAAAATAAATACATAAGTGTGTGTGTGTGTGTGTATGTATTTATACCCTGAAATAATTTGGTAATTATCTTTTGTTCTTTTAGTTTTTAAAAAAAGTGAAAGAGGAGGGGCCAGCAGGTGGCGTGGTGGTTAAGGGGCTAGACACTCCCACATGGCCGACCAGGGTTTGAGTCCTGAATCTGGTGGCTTGCTTTCTCACTTCCTCTCTCTCTCATTCTCAACCTCTGTCTCTCTCTGGTCAAATTAACAAATAAATGAATAAATAAATAAAATAAAATAAATAATTTTTAAAAAAGTGAAATAGGAAACAAATAGTTCTACTTAGAAAAACCAGCCATCTAATTACCCTAGACCCAAATACTCAGTAATTCATTGAATTTTTTTATTAGTATCCTCTATTGCTCAAGTAAAAGTTGACACAGACTCCCAGTGAGGTACAGAAGCCAGCCTATCATGTGCCTAGGTTTTTGTTAGTTAAGAGTAAGATTTGACGCACTTTATTGTTGCTGGTGATGGAGCCAGTTTTCTTTAATCTCCTCAGGATATCTTTCCGTTTATAGTATGATTTTAAATGTGGATCATGTAGACTTTTATAGGTGGGTTCCAAAAGCCGGCAGTAAGGATCAGTGAGGTTAAAATCATAAGAAGGTTGATGAAGCTGCAAACACACTCAAAAGTATTACAAATGTAAAATAAATGAAGCCACAGTTTTAAACAGGCTAAAATGATTAGAATTCTCATTGAAAATAAAACATGCAAGCCCAGTCTGAAGTAAAGAGGTATAGACAACTGGCTGATTTCTGTAGCCCTACTGCCTTTCTGTTCCTGTCCTTCTCCAAGGTGAATGTGGCTTGTGAAATCTCAACTTGTGAAGCCTGTGTTCCTTCTGACAGTAGCCAGACCTCAGTCCAATTCCTGAACACAGGTCAGGACTTACTGTCAGGATGGAGAGGAGAATACAGACCAGGTTTCAGGAGCAAGATGGACAAAGGAACAGAAGTAGAAATCATCATAGTATATGTGGGTAGGCAGAAAAGACCCCAACCTACAGGACTGGAGGCTGTGGGTTGGAGATAAGGCTGGATAAGGCAGCTGAGGCACATCACAGGGCCTTCCATCATTAAAGTGAGGTTCGGGAACTAACACAAGTCATTTAACTTCCCATGGTGTGTGAAACTGAGATTGACATAAAGCAAAATTATAGCTAAGTGTTTCAAGTTTGACAGCTAAAATGGGTAGAGCAAATCACTTAAGCTCTATTCAAACGTAGTTTACCTTTTCATTTATATTGGTAGTATAGAATACATTATGGGTTCCTGGGATGATAGGCAGCTTGACTCCCAGAGGCAGATCCAATAGGTCTGACGCGCCAACCTCTGGAATGGGATTTTTCTGCGAACTCTGTCAGATACAATTGGGAAGTTTGTTTTTCCTCCTAGGAACTATTCATTTAGTTCAGACCCATCTCCTCACACTTCAATGGGCTAACACCTCCAAATAAACCAAAGAATCATACTCTCAGGGTTAAAGGACCCGCGCAGCCAACCCAGACCGCCTCCGCATTTGCGAGTCACCAACCCCAGCTCTAGGTCCCACCCTCAGCAAATCCTAGCCAGTAGCAGCCTAG